TCTACTCCTTCATCTATAATTCTTGATGTTGTTGATGGTACCAGAAGATCAACAAGGGTTCATAGAGCTCCTGTAAGGCTTCAGAATTTTATATGCAACAATGTGGAATCTTATCATCTATGTTGTCACACCATTACTAATCTATGCATTCCGGATGACAGTTTTGCTCTTAATACACAAACTATCCCACCTGATGCCTTTGTATTTCATTCTCAACTACAAGCTCTTGAGCTTGCCTGTTATCATCAAGCTAAAAGAGATGAAAATTGGGAAAATTCCATGCAAAATGAACTTCAAAATCTTATTGATAACAAAACATGGGACATTGTGAAACTTCCTAAGGGCAAGAAACCCATTTCTTGTAGATGGGTTTTTAAAGTTATATACATAGCATATGGTTCCATTGAGAGTAAAAAATATAGGCTTATGCCAAAGGTTTTACACCACAAGAAGGCATAGACTATCATGACACTTTCTCTCATGTTTTCAAGATTCACACTATCCGATGCATTGTCTCACTAGCTGTCAAAATAAGTTGGCTTATTCAGTAGCTAGATTCAATAACACCTTCCTTCATGGTGACTTGCATGAATAAGTTTACATGAAAGTACCACATGGATTTTCAGTTGAATCACCTAGTCTTGTTTGCAGATTGAAAAATTTCTTATATGGTCTCTAAGACAATGATACTTTAAACTTTATGATGCTTTAAGAATACAACGTTATACCCATTCTCAAAATGATTATTCCCTGTTTCTAAAGAAAGATGGTGATTCAATTGTTATAGGTTATGTATATGTTTATGATATACTAGTAACTGGAAATAATCTAGAAGATATTTCAAAATTGAAGACTTTTCTTGATATTCAGTTCAAGATTAAAGATTTGGGACAAATCAGTTTTTTTTTTGGACTTGAGTTCAAAACAGTATCTGATGGAACAATTGTTCATCAAGTAAAGTTCATCAAAGAGTTGTTGGCTCTTTACTCCGTGGAAGATGTAAGCCCTGTTTCTACACTTTTTCCTTCCAAAGTTAATCTCATACCAATTATGGATAACCCTTTACCTGATCCTACTGTATATAGTCATCTTACTTACAAATTAAATTTTCTCTTAGACATAAGGAATGATCTCGTATATACTGCTCAACACTTGAGCCGGTTCAATCAGACACCATCTCAACAACATTATGAAGTGACTTTACACACATTGAAATATCTTAAAGGAACGCTTTATCAAGGGTTATTCTTCAATAAAGTTCAGACCATTAACATTCAGGAATATTGTGATGCTGATTGGACCTCTTGTCCAATCACCGAGAAGTCTGTTAGTGGCTTTTTTATACTCTTTGGTTGGGCCCATATCTCATAGAAATCAAAGAAACAAATGACAATTTCATTATCTTCTGTAAAAGCATAATACAGGTCCATGGGAAGAATTTGCTATGAATTAGTTTGGTTAAGTAGATTGTTCAATGAGCTTAATGTTTCAAATATTTGTCCAATGTCTCTAAAATGTGACAATCAAGCTGCCATATACATTGCTTCAAATCCAATGTTTCATGAAAAAACCACACACATAGAGATTGACTGTCATTTTATATGAGAAAAGTTACAAGAGGGTTTAATCACTTTGTCACATGTTAAATATGAGGATCATCCAGCTCGTTTTTAGTAAGTCTTTGAATGGCGTATTACATGAAAAAGTTGTTTCCAGTCTGTATTTACGCTCTATACCTTGAGATGGGGGGGGGGGGCTGAAAGACTCAACAACTCGACAATTATGTTAGTTAGAAGTCTAGGAGTAGTTTCGTCTTTTACTATTCAAAGTTTGTTAGATTGGTTAGAACAATTATTTAATCGGCCCCTTGTATATATAGATTGTTCATTATAATCTGTATAGTAGTAATGAATCAATCTTTTGCACATTTCTATTTCTCTCGTTCGTTTCACTCAAGTTTATGATAACACCTTGTGGCTTGTGAGATATCTAGACGTAAGACTTTAATGAAGATGAAGATGTGAACTAAGATTCTCTGTAAAAAAAAGTCTTACCACACTTCATTGTTTTTAGGTTATTTTAGAAGTAACCTATGACGATTTCTATGCCTTTGAATTTGTATTATCTATACTGAATGTTAAATTGTATTAAAGTTTGCATTAGTTTCTTTTTTCATGATGCTTCGTTTGGATTGAAGTAATATGTTTTTTTTTTCCTTTTTAGGCTCTAGGAAATGCAGAGACGGCGACAACGGTGGTGCTTTTGGCCTAGTTTATAGGTACGATGGATTTATGAAAAATATGAAAGGTGAGGTTGGGTGAGGGTGTGTGTGGTGGTAGAGAGAGAAAGAGAGAAGGATACACATGCATGCTCTTAAAAAAACGAGAATATAATAAGTTTCATAAATAGTCACTACCTGACTTAGCTTACACAAATCACATCAATAAGTGGTCAACGGTTAAGACTTAAGAGTGAAAAAGACTTGCTAAATGGCATACATGAAAAGTTCCTATTTTAATAGACACAATAATGATTTTAGGATAACAAGTTGTTTTTTTTTCTTTGTTTAAAAACTTGAGGATTTTAGTGTAGATTCTCCAAAATAAAAAACATGTAACTACCATATAATTTTACCAAACATATTGTTATTAGTAAAATCCCAATTTTGAGGACTTCCTTTATACAAAGGGAGTTGATTTATCCATCTAATGTTTTTATCAATCCACAAAAAATATTATATATTAACAATTATGCCCTAAATTTTAATTTGTAAATATTGAACAGAGAAAAACATCTTTTGTTTCAAGCACGCACGACCAATAGGTCATAGCCTAACCTCTGAAACATCTCTTGCAATGCCTTTATCAGCAATTTAGCCCAAATTTCATTTGAAATTATCAATCGATCATCACGCTCTCCATCGTCATCAGTTCTAGAGTCCAAAACTCCAACACCGATCTTTCGACATTAAGCTTTAAGCTCTCCGTCATCGATCTTCAGGCTTTAAGCATTGTAATTATCTATCTTCCAATTTATTGATTTTATCGTTAACTTTATTGTCCTTTATTTGACAGGCATGAGTCTATTATAACTTTCTTCTACTCTATTGTTTAGATTTGTCTCTTTAATTTCTATAAGTTATTTGCAACTTTTTGGCATAGATTAAAAAACGTTACATGTTAAAATCATACACTACTATTATCCTTGCATATCAACTGTTTGATCATATTTTCATTAGATATTTTGGTTTGGATTCATTAAGCATAGGTTGTGAATTGGGAACAACATAATTGATTTCACTTTTGCTTCAAGAAGATTGTTGCACTATATCGTTCATTCCTTGAAGTTATCGTTTCGGAGTGGGCAGAAGAAGCACAATCAAACATCAAATTTGGAGTTATTATTTGGGAGTGGGCTGAAGAAACCAACGTCGGTTGTTGGTCGTGCCTCTTTTAGAATTTCTAATCCTAAAACTTTATGTCTTCGATATGTGGAAATTAAAATCAAGAGTATAATTACCAATACATAATATTTTTTGTGGATGGATAAAATTGTGGATAAATCAATTCTCTTATATACAAATAAAGTACGATAAATTGTTTAATCTTACGGTATAATGTAAAAATGGGGTATTTGGGAATACGAATAGTGCTTGAGGAAATCTATATCTATATCTATACTATATTATAAAGTATATTGGTCATATATCTTGATTTTAAGAGGTATAACTTAGAAAGCTTTTTGTATTAATCAATTATGCAGAAATAAATAATTAATACATGTCAAAATTTTAAAGACGTAAATTAAGAAAAGTTATTACGAAATTTAATTAGTTGAAAATGACAACTTTGAAATATTGAATTCATGTATATAAATTAATTTAGATATTTTATTCTAGACATCATTTGATTTACAACAATACTCTGAACTGAGAATATAAATATAATGTTTAAACATTAACATTTTACTTAAAGTTGGTAGTTATTTTACTACTTAAGATTTAATTATAACATCTAACAATTATTTTGTTTCTATTATTTTAATGAAATCTTATAATTATATATTGTATGCTCAAAGATATGATGTTAAACAAGAAAAAAAAAACCCTGATAAAATGATGCAATGATTTAACATTGTTCGATCAATATGAACATGATATCTATTCTATTAATTAAGTGTTTCATAAATGATTATGTTGGAATCCCTAAGTACAAGTATTTATAATCATAAACCCAAACAACTATAGGGGTTGAGCTCATGTACGAGTAAATCTTGAATAATTAAACATATCAATACCATAGGAGGATGCGGGGGCAAAGGTCCGTCGACCATAATACAATCTCTATTTTATACACTACTCAATAACATTTTTAAATTTGTTTGATTATTTTTAATAATAACCATAAAATATATAATGTGAAGAGTTATTCCATATAAGAAAACAGTTAGCTAAAAGAGTTATTTGTTGTTGCTGCTTTACGGAAACATTTATCTAATTTTTATTAACTGTTTTAAAACTTTCTATTTTTGTCACATTATCGTCTAACCGTCATGAGTTTTTTTAGAAAAGAACATTTATTAATCTATATATAAGTTTTAAAACTTAAAAAAACATTTATTAGTTATAAAGTTAAAAAAAAGATTAATCATATATAGTTATAAAAGTATAATTTTAAAAATATAACACTTTTTAATGTTTTAACATTAATCATTTATATAGTTAATAATTTTTTTAAAAATTATACTATCTTAACGTTTTTAAAATTCAATATTCATTTATTTTATTAATTTGACAAATATTTCTAATTGTAAAATCTTTTTTCAGATAATCCTAATTAAAAAAAACTACAGCTGAACATGGCATAAAATCAAATTTTCTTCAAGTTAACAGTTATATTTTGATATGGTTTGTTGTTTTTTTTTGCAAGTTAAGGGTCCACAATATAATTTAGCAAAAATTATGTAGTAAAAAGAAAAATACATCAAAGATGGAAACAAACTATTAAAACACAACCAATTATTATTGTCACTAAAAACCCACAAATGTATTGTTCATCAAAATCAAAATCAAAATATGAAAATAAAAGACTCCATCACAACCAAACCAACCACCATAACTTGTGCCACCGTCTGTCAAGCACCCAAGTATCAACCCGGAAACGTAACAGAACCACCGTTCCAAGAAACAGCGGTAACAGATGACACCAACAACAAAAGGGAAACACGCAATCCAAAATCATAAAAACACTCAAAATCAATAAACCAAAACTCACTCTCAAATCCAAATCCAAATCCATAAACGAACCGGCGGTTCATTTTTTCTTAGCCGCCGCCTTAGTAATCTTAGCCCCGGTCGGATCCTTCTTATCCACACTCTTAATCACACCAACAGCCACCGTCTGCCTCATATCCCTAACCGCAAACCGCCCCAACGGAGGGTACTCCGAGAAAGTCTCCACCACCATCGGCTTAGTCGGAATCATCTTCACCATTCCCGCATCACCGTTTTTCAAAAACTTAGGTTCCTTCTCAAGCTCCTTACCAGACCTCCGGTCAATCTTAGTCAACAGCTCAGCAAACTTCACAGCAATATGAGAAGTATGACAATCAAGAACCGGTGCATACCCGTTTCCAATCTGACCCGGGTGGTTCATGATAATAACCTGAGCAGTAAAATTAGCCGCGCCCTTAGCCGGGTCATCTTTCGAATTCGAAGCAACATACCCACGTTTCAAATCCTTCACAGCCACGTTTTTCACATTGAACCCGACATTATCACCGGGTAAAGCTTCCACCAGCGCCTCATGGTGCATTTCAACCGACTTGACTTCAGTGGTAAGTCCGGTTGGACCGAAGGTGACTACCATACCCGGTTTAATAACACCGGTTTCGACCCGACCCACTGGAACAGTTCCAATTCCGCCGATTTTGTAAACGTCTTGGAGGGGGAGACGGAGGGGTTTGTCGGATGGGCGCTTTGGTTCGTTGAGTTGGTCGAGTGCTTCGAGGAGAGTGGGGCCCTTGTACCAGTCAAGATTTGTTGACCTTTCGATCATGTTGTCGCCTTCGAAACCGGAGATTGGAACGAATGGAATCTTCTCCGGGTTGTACCCGACTTTCTTCAAGTATGAAGAAACTTCTTTAACGATTTCATCGTATCTAGCTTTGGAGTATTTCGGAGTAGTGGCATCCATCTTGTTGCAACAGCAGATCATTTGCCTCACACCGAGTGTGAACGCTAAAAGGGCGTGTTCACGGGTCTGGCCATCTTTGGAAATTCCAGCTTCAAACCCACCGGTGGTGGAGTCGATGATGAGGACAGCGCAATCGGCTTGAGAGGTTCCGGTGATCATGTTCTTGATGAAGTCACGGTGGCCAGGGGCGTCGATGACTGTGCAGTAGTACTTGTTTGTTTCGAATTTCCATAAAGCGATGTCGATGGTGATGCCACGTTCGCGTTCAGCTTTGAGTTTGTCGAGGACCCATGCGTATTTGAAGGAACGTTTGTTCATCTCAGCAGCTTCTTTCTCGAATCTTTCGATCACACGCTTGTCGATGCCTCCTAGCTTGTAGATTAAGTGGCCGGTGGTGGTTGATTTTCCGGAGTCGACATGACCGATGACAACAATGTTGATGTGAACCTTCTCTTTACCCATGGTGAAACCGAGTTTGTTGCTAGAATTAGAGAAAAACAGAACGTAAATTTAATGAAAGCCGATATGATAAACGCAAGCATTTCAGGTAAAGTGAAGTTGCAGAGATTAAAGCATATTTTATATATTTCAAAGGAAATTAAGCATCGGCAATAGCGTTCTAAACTTTTTCAAACAGGATTCAAGTCATTCTAACTGTCAAATGGATCATGGTGAATAGAAACAGCGAACAGATATAAGAACTTCAAATATGAATGAAAAATGGTAGTTTATAATTTAGAATCAAAAGAAAAGATTGTACGTTACATAGTAAGTACTACTTAATAATCCGTAAATCAACATGAAGACTGAAAAGAATAAATATGATCGAAAACATGATCAACATCATCCAAATTGAAATGTGTTTGAAACTGAAAGGTTCTGAGGATATCATATGATCATGGATCAAGTATCTCGAAACAGTACTGGCTATCATTGAAACAAAATAACTAAGATCATAGACTGACAATTATGATTACACGGCTAAAAATTATGAAAAATACAGCAACGATAAGATGAACTAGTCGATAAAGCAGATAATCAACATAGATAAATAACTAAACATGATCGATACCTACAATTCCATAATTCTACGACAAAACAATGAATAAACAGATCAAACAATTACTTCAAATGAATATGCAGACTAAAGAAGCAAATGAATAATTAAACCACGAAGCAGAAATAAAGAATCGAAGAAATCGAACCTTGGTTGTCTCCGATGAAGAAATTGAGAACCACCTAATAGCAGCAAAACTCAGTGAGTTGAGAAGAAAGGGAGTATTGGGAACTTTATATGTGTAGGGTTTTTCTGTCGACCGCTGGATCAACATTGATCTAACGGTGTATGTAGGTCACACCCGGCTTCATCGCCACGGCGGTTTAAAATATTCCGAATAAACCCCTGTTAAACTTGGGCAGCACGCATATAATTTTAGCCTATTAAAATATTCGAAAAATACGAGGAAATTTATGGTATGTGTGGTTAAAAAACGAATATAAAAAAGTTATTCAATTAATAAAATATTTTACTTTGAGATTTATCGGAATTTAAACAAAGGATCTCAATAAACGTTATCTACGAACGCCAATTTGCGAGAATGTTTGGTCTAACATAAACCATATCGAACAAATTTTAAAGAGTTTGATTTATTTTTTGTAAAATATATTATAATAAATTCACGTTGCACATATAACTTTTTATTTTCATAGTTAATTAATGATCCAAATACAAGAAATCAAACGAATAATAAAATGTGCCCTTAAAACATATAATAAAGATAGATAATGATTAATGATTCACAATATACCATCTTTCTCAACAGTATTTTTGTTTTACTCCTTCACATGGTACTATAACTCAATTATGCATACTTGTACTCGTAATTTATTATCGCTAAAAAGTAGCAACATGATTTAATTATATATAACGGTTTGAAGATTATTATATATATTTATGTAATATTTGCAGTGTATTTTTGGACACCTTCGGATGGTTGGTCATTCTTTATGATATCAATCCGATTGTGTTTTCATACATCAGAAATTCATATGTCGATCCCAAGTAGATATTGATTGTCGATGATCCACATTTCTCTTACGTTATTACTCTATGCGTTTAAGATGAAAGCTAATGTAGAAAAAGATAAACATGCATATTATAGTGATCTAGATCTAAAAAAATTCACTAGTCATGTTTGTACTGATATCTAACTTCTTAAATTTATAGAGTTCTAGATTATGACCCGCGTAAAGCGTGGGGTAACGTATAAAAAAGTACATATCTTTCTTCCTAATAAAAACCTCTCTATGGTATCACATGTCCTTATTATAAACACCCAAAGTACACCTGTCATTTTCTCCATTTTCCTCATAAACTTTTTCCCGCCCAAAGCATCCCTAAAAATTAAACAATAATTCTGAAAGTCAAAAGTTAATATCTGTTTCAAAAAGAAATATGTTTCCATATTAAACGAAAAATCTGTTTCCATATTAAACTCCAAATTAAACGAAAAATTCAAACTAAAATATAATCACCTTGCTATAAAATTGGCAATGGTTTATTAAAAATAAATTTGTTTCCATATAAAACGAAAATCTATGTTTCTTATAAAAGTTTTACCTCTCATACCTTCTTTGACGAATCCACACATTCTCATACTAATCAGCAAATATTTTTCCATATCGCATAAAATCATGAATGGTTTTTTATAAAGTTGATCTTTTTCCAAATATATCTGCATGATAATAGTAATTAAATCATTTAAATGAATTACAATATTCAATTACAATATTAACTTCGGTTGTTTTATTCCACCTATAAATACAGAACCCCTAAATTCTTTTCAACCATTTGCCTCTTCTCATTTGCTTTGTATCTAAACTGTAAAACGCTGCAAAGAAGGTAAAACATCCCCAAACAACTATGTTGAATTTTTTTTGTTTATCATTTATTCGTATTCTTATTGTAATTTTGATTACATCTATATTCTTCTCCTTCTGTTATTTTCTATTTTCTGTATATGTTATCTTATACAGAAGATATTCAATTTTTTTCCTACGTACATACAAAATGAAGAACTTGATCATATAAATCACCATAAAAGAAACTGAAAACTATACATGTTAATTTGTTATGAATTGAATTTTGTAGTGTCAACTTGTAGATATAAAGGGTAAAAAATTCAAATCTTATACTAAGAACAAACTTTACAACATTATTTACCCTTTATTTTTGAGGTTGGACAATTTTACCCTTTATATATTATTTGGAAATTATATCTTTTAACTTTTCTTAATTAACAATAAACTTTACAACATTACAATATGTTACATTGTATTGATTCTCTACAGAACATATAAGTGCAGAAAAACATTTTATTTTTGTAGTTTTAAAACTGATTTGGATTGATCAGAAAAGTTAAAACCGAAAATACTCCAAAATTGTCCAAATGCAATCCGAATTTCAATCAAAATAATAAAAACATATAGGAATATGTGTGTTTTGTTAGTCAGGTATTTTAATTTATATATATATATATATATATATATATATATATATATATATTTTATCAGATTTATATAATTTTGAGTTTTTTTCAGTTAAATGGTTCAAATGCAATCCGATTTTGAATCATACCTTATACGAACATCTTGGAATATTTCTGTTAACTTACTCAGAGCTTTGAATTTACATATAATTTTCATCAAATTTATATAATTTTATGTTTTTTCAGTTACTAAGAACAACCTTTACAACATTATTTACCCTTTATTTTTGAGGTTGGACAATTTTACCCTTTATATATTATTTGGAAATTATATCTTTCAACTTTTCTTAATTAACAATAAGCTTTACAACATTACAATATGTTACATTGTATTGATTCTCTACAGAAGATATAAGTGCATAAATACATTTTATTTTCGTAGTTTTAAAACTGATTTGGATTGATCAGCAAAGTTAAAACCGAAAATACTCCAAAATGGTTCAAATGCAATCCGAATTTCAATCAAAATAATAAAAACATATAGGAATATGTGTGTTCTATTAGTCATGTATTTTAATTTATATATATTTTTCATCAGATTTATATAATTTTGTGTTTTTTCAGTTAAATGGTTCAAATGCAATCTGAATTTGAATCATAATAATACGAACATATTGGAATATTTCTGTTAACTTAGTCAGGGCTTTGAATTTACATATATTTTTCATCAAATTTATATAATTTTGTGTTTTTTCAGTTAAATGGCTACTCCCAATGTCACTTTGATTGCTGATGTAGATGTGCTGAGGGACGATTTGATTGACTCTAAAAGCCTGTGTCATCAACTTGTGGAAACATATGTCATTCTACAACAAGGATGCCATTTCGTCCATTGAATTAATCTTACTTGATGAACAGGTATCTTACACTCTACATATTAATTATTTTTTACAAATACACATTTAAGTACAATTACTTATATAGTTGATGATACATTACTTTTTTATAGGGGAGCAAGATCCAAGCTACTGTTTGGAAAAAAATTCTATATCGATTCAAAAATATATTAAAGGATGGGTCGTCTTTTTACATCACGAGTCCAAGTTTTGCATCACAAAAGCCCGGTAGTTTCAAAATAACTCCTCAAGATCAAAAACTAACTTTTGTCCAGAATACTATTCTCAAAGAATGTGTAGAATTTTCTGGATCTAGATTTGGATTTTCATTTGTTGACTATCAAACTGTTCTGTCGTTGCTACATCCTGAAGATATATCTGTTGGTTAGTTAATATTTATTATTTTAATTATAAACTAAAACTTTAATTGGTTTAATTTTTAAATGTTCAAACTTGGATTTGGTAGCACCCAATTTATATTTTTCTTGAATATATATGTGTCTTATTTGCATGTCAAAATTTTGATAATGGAAAACATGGAAGCTGCACTTCAATCCTCTAAAACAGCCCCTGGACATGTTTGATCCATCACAAATATATTATTAATTTAGAAAATGGTCCATACGTCATTATTTTTTTTTACATTTTTTGTCTCTTTATTAATAAAGTACACATTAGACATATAAACATTTTTAAAACAGGAACATGTTTCTTTGGTCATGTTGCTTTCTATGTGTGTAATTAAATTACATATTAGTGTGTTATACCATCTGTGACAACCCGAAACTTTTATCTTGTACAATCGATCTTTATATCAACATTAAACTCGATTTTGTTACCTTTTAACGTCATTTAAGGGTCCGTTTAAGCATTCTAAGCTTGAGTACAGTTGGGAATGAGGTTAGGAATGAGTCAACATGTCGTTCAGAAACAAAAATCGGGCCATACACCCTCATGAGAGGTGTGTACGGCCGCACACACGCACACCCACCCTCCAGCCGCACTCACCCTTGTATATATATAAGGGAACCCCTTTCACTCATTCTTTTCCTTTGGCTGCACTCTACTTTCTCTCACTACTTTCTCTCTCTAAAAACTTCATCCAAGAACACTCTAAAGGCCTAAAAAATGTGAACCACTTCATCATTCAGCTTGTTATCTTGGTAAGACACCTGAATCTAAGCTTAAAACTCATAGTGTTCTTCGTGTTCTTCATCCTTTGAAGGTGTACGGCCGCACACCTTCATAAGGTGGCCGCACACACACTAAACTCTCCAAAGTGAAGAGTTTGGCCCCCAATTGCTAGTTGGACTTGGTATTAACACTAGAACGTCTCAAAAACACCTCAAAATCAACGTTTCGGACACAAAAGAGGAGTGTACGGCCGCACACTCCTGTGTACGGCCGCACACACCCTCTATACGACTGCACACTCCTGTGTGCAACCGCACACATAGCCTGGCCGCACACCCTGGACGCACACCTGGCCGCACACACATAAAAGTCGAAATTGGTGGCTTTACACTCAAATCTAAAGCCCTACACTCATTGGGGACTTCAATAGGTGTTTGTAACACCTAATTCTAAGTGTTTTCACGTCCCTAAGATGTGTCCATGTGTCTAATAGTGGCTATATAACCTAAGTGTAAGCATATAAGTGTTATTATATGTTACTAGGATCCACTCGAGTGCGAAACCCCAATTGACACTCAACAACTCGTAACCGATCATCCGCTCGAATCATCCATCAAACAGTGAGTTCATACCCCTACACTTTTTTCGAGTTTTTCATGTTTTCAGGAGGGAATACAAGCAAAAGTACAAGGAAACTTGTGCTCACTTATATTATTTTGTTTAAAATAATTACATATTCAGTATGCTTTCAAACACAGAAAACCGTTTTACCACTCGATTTAGAAATCAACTCGTAGAAACAGTATTCAAAACTAAAGCACGGAACTTATGAATCTTGTCATAAATTGTGATATTTTACAAAGGATTCCTACCAACCATAAACAGGATTTTCTATATTATTACTTGTAAATTTGTTAGTTTAAGGATTGGAGACACGTTCTTGATAACACTCCACCGGATTCGTGAGTGTAGGACTACCCTCGTAACCAGAATCTCTTGGAGGGAGAGCGTGACTATTGTGTATAGATCTATACGGGACTGACTATCCCGCACCTCGCTGCTAGCTACAGTGGGACCGTCAGGTCTACGGGTGACAAAGTCATAAAATTATACTGGCCGCCGTTCGTGCCATATTTAGTTTAATGTATGGTTATGAAAATCGCAACCTAAATAACATAGATTTACTTTGGTAATAATGAATCAAGTGAACTAACCTCAAAGTAATAACCGATTTGATTACTAGAGGGTATTGATAATACCCTTAGGATCTAGTTCACTACCTACTTATTAGTTCTATTTTTGTAATAAGACTAATACTTCTCACAGAGAACAAACATGGTTTTTCAAGAAAACTACGTCTAACGATACAAGTATGGCAGATACTTGTACACCTCGTACAGAAACGGATAACTAACCACCAACTTTTAAGGAAAATATATGGTTTTTCCTGGGATAATCCAACTTTACATAAACAGGCTGTTAAACAAATGTCAAATGGATAATCAAACATCTTTCATAAGAAAATATGGGATTTTCTTGGTAAACACTTTTCAAAGGATCAAAGAAACTTTTCTTTCACCAGAACTAAATGCTTATGAACTCACCAGCTTTATGTTGATATTCTTTAAAACTGCTTGTATTCTCAGGGCAACAATAGACAGGTACTCCGGCCGACTTTTGAGAAGACGGAGCGTTGCGGATTCACGTCTTTTACTTCTTGCTATATACTGTTATGTATAAATCATGTTTTTGAACAATGTAAATATTCATATTATAATGTAATGGTTGTGTTTACTATGCTTACTATGATATAACTGTTGTGATACTACGCATGACGTCACTCCGCCCCGGAATGTTTCCGCCTTCGGTTTCGGGGTGTGACACCATCTGTGAAACTTCAGATCCTGAACCATCTGTTTTTCGTTACATACCAGTGTTTTATACAGTTTAAATCTAAAGGGTGCATATGTGCTGGTTATATTCTTAAAATTCTGCTTTTTTGGGCCATTTTCTGTCATTTTTGTCTTCAAATCTTGCTGTCAAATGCAAGAAATTGCAATCGAGATTTGTTTTTTGTTCTAAACCATTTCTTTCAATTTCACAGATGGTATCTAGGCACTAATATGAGTTTGT